AAGGGGGGCTATGAGGGGTCTGGGGTGGCATCCCCTCCCACCCCACTCCAGACCCCTTATAGCCCCCCCTTCCGATAGTCCGGAATATCTGATAATCTGGAACCCCCTGGGTCCTAAAGGTTCTGGATTATCGAAAGTTTACTGTACTCCCCATTGAAGGGAGATGGTTAAAGTCTCATCATACTGGATTACGAAGTTTTTTTTTAAATATAGTTGGCTTTTAAAATATTGTTGAATCTTGAGGGTTGTATTTTGAGTGTCATGTTTGTATTTCCCTTCAGTTTTATCACATTTCGCTCCTGCACATACTTGGACAAGAAGCACACAATTTTTGGAAGGTAAGAGAAGAAATAGAACTACAACATGCGTATAGTACATCCTGTGTTCTTTCATGGCATAGAGATGAGTGTTGTAATTTCTACACTTGATTTAAGCAAAATCCTGGTTCAAGAGCAAATTCTTATCTCTGAGTCTCAATTGGCATGTAATCCTCTTTTTTTCCATGCACGTTTGCTGATTTCCCACTCATTTTTCTGAGTCTGAGATATAGAAATAGCCTTTTAATATCTAGTTTTGTTCACTTTTCTTTTCTTCTTTCGCTTATTTTGTGGCAGAGTGCACACCTATTGGCCTTGATTAAGCAGAGGGTATTCCAGCACTACCACCACCAGTCAGGCATCCTTTTGCCATTATTTTTCTCCCTGGCTACTCTTTCATCATAATCAGTAACCAAATTATTGAGTTATTTTCTGTTGATGGGAGGAGTAGTCAAGAAGAGAACAGTCAGCACTTGAAAAAAAAATTTACACGCTCTTCATGGTGGCACAAGAGAGAACCTATTTAAAGCTCTGCCTTCATCACTTCAAGAACTGTCAACCAATAGGTCAGTCACGACTCAGGGCTTCTTTTGGAGAGCATCAAACACTGAGCTATTGATGCACTTCTCAGAACCTTTTACTTTGTACCTGTGTGTCATTGCTATGACAGTTATGGCAATTTCCTACAACATTCCTGAGAAACCTTATTGAACTAAGTTTTAAGTATTGGTGAGATCCTTTGTATTAAGTGAATAATTTATGCATCCTTCTGGATTGGAATTGTTTGTAACCTCCTGGGAGGAGAGATGTGACAGATGAGAGACCTAGTGGTTCAAAGGACTTCAGCAAACAATGCGCTAGACAATAATGGATTTTGGGAATAAAAAATGGTAAGTGATTAAGAACATAAGAACGGCCATAAAGGTCTGTCTAGCCCAGTATCCTGCCTGCTGACAGTGGCCAATACCAGATGCCCCAGAGGGAAGGATCACAATAAGTAATCCTCACGTGATCCCTCCCGTCATCCAGCTCCAGAGAAACAGAGGCTAGGGACACCATTCCTACCTATCCTGGCTAGTAGCCATTCATGGATCTAACCTCCGTGAATCTATCTAGCTCTTCTGGGAATTAGGTAGGGAGAGCTTTTCCTGGCTGCAATTTCCCCACTTCTAGTTATGCAAAAACCCAGCCTTTATAAGCTATGGCCAGTGGAGTTGACCTTTGTCTGCTAATCTCTTGTCACATGAGGCCAAGATCCAAGGCCGAAATGATATAAAGGAAGGGCTGCATAGTTGTTCTGGTTTTGAATCTGAGGCAGTTAAGGTATGTCTACACAGCAGTGTTATTTCAGAATAACTCTTGTTGTTCTTGTCCGCATCTACACTACAAGCACGCATCTATACTACAAGCAGTTATTTTGACATAATGTCAAAATATGAGTGAACTGGAGGACTTCTTACTTCAACTCCTGTAACCATCATTTTACGAGGAGTAAGAGAAGTCAGAGGAAAAGTGCTCTTCCTCGAACTTCCAGCTGTGAAGACAGTGCCAAAAGCTGAAATAATCTATTTCGATTTAATCTACACAATTGACATAGCTCAAGTTGTGTAGTTTATTTCCGCTTTAGCCCTGTGATGTATGTGTGCCCTTAAACATTTGTAACTATGGGAAAAAATTCAGTTGTGGATTTTCAAGGACTGACATTTACCAGAGCTCTAAGTTGGAGTTGGAGTGATCACTGGTAAACTAATTAGCACACGTGTAGGGTTTTTTTATTGTTCTAATATGTTTTAATGCGGTTACCATAAGAATAAATGTGCTTGTTTATGAAAAGTTGTGTGCTAGCTAACCATTTTGGGCCATTACACTGTGTGTAGCCTCTAAGAAGAGATGCTATCCTGGTTAGGCAGTCTGGTTTGCTAGGAATATCACACTAGTCAGGGAATTGTGCATCCTGGAAAAATCTGTCAGGAGGGAGAGGCGTGGGTATCTACCCATGAGAGGTGATGACTGAGGAGCTGGGAGCCTATGAGGGAGAGAACCCTCAAAGGAATTTTGAGGGAGAATGTGGGTGTAGTTTCTCTGAACTGTGTTAATTACAACTGTGATACAATGCTGCAATGTCAATTGAGTATCAATGTGGAAAGCTCCACAGACCCTTCCTTGTTATGAGAGAAATGTTGTTTTCATGGTTCTACTCCACTCAACCCCCCCTAATATTGCAAATGCTAAGGAAATAATGCAGATCTATAAAGAAAGTGCAGTGCATACTTGTTTTTGTTTCCATCATTTCCAGGTGCAAGCATTATAATAGATGGTGCTAAATTATACCAAGCTATTTAATAAATGTGTCATTGATGGTAAATAAGCACAATTTTATTACACAATTTCATTGATAGTTCCTTCGAATCTGAACCTTATTCTTTTATTTTTCTTTTAATTGTAACTTTTTATCAACTGTTTTGATTTTTACCCAGTTTGAAAAACTGCTTAAAATAAATACATGAAATACTCTGTGTGAACAGTAGAGCTGTTCAGTAGCTAGGATATATTCTTTTCCTCTGGGCTTTCTAGTGTATCCCATTGTAAGTGTTCAGGCAGGAATTGGCTTCATTTTGTGAGTTCTGTAGAGCCAAACATATTTTTGGCATTTAGCACAATAGTAATTTGACTGCTAATATTCCCAATATTGATACTGCAATAACTGCATTCTCTGAATTACTCTCCTTCTGCCAAGCTGTCCCTTTTGCCTTACTGGTGACTCCTGTAAGTACAAGTTATAGCTCCCTTATCATAGAATCATAGAACCATAGAGCTGGAAGAGACCTCAGAAGGTCATCAAGTCCAGCCCCCTACTCTAGGCAGGACCAATTACAACTAAATCAACCCAGCCAGGGCTTTGTCAAGCCCAGACTTAAACATCTCTAGGGATAGAGACTCCTCTACTTCCCTAAGTAACACATTCCAGTGCTTCACTACCCTCCTAGTGAAATAGTTTTTCCTAATATCCAACCTGGACCTCTCCCACCACAACTTGAGACCATTGCTCCTTGTTCTGCCATCTGTCACTACTGTGAACAGCCCCTCTCCATCCTCTTTGGAACCTCCCTTCAGGAAGTTGAAGGCTGCTATCAAATCCCCCCTCACTCTTCACATCTGCAGACTAAACAGACCCAACTCCCTCAATCGCTCATCATATGCTCCAGCCCCCTAATTATTTTGGTTGCCCTCTGCTGGACCCTCTCCAGTGTGTCCACATCCCTTTTGTAGTGAGGGCCCCAGAACTGGACACAATACTCCAGATGTGGCCTCACCAAAGCCAAATAAAGGGGAATAATGATATCTCTAGATCTGCTGGCAATGTTCCTCTTAATGCAAAGAGGAACATTTATCACTTTGTGAAAGAAAAGTGGGTAACTTCTGTGTCTTGGTCAACATTCTGTCTCACTTAAATAAGTTCTAATTTTAAAAGCTGTGAGTGAACAGATTCCTGTAACTGCACTGCCTGTAACTATGAGCTTGTCTTCCGGCAGAGTTAATTCCAGTTGTAATTAAAGTATTGTCCCTGAAATCTGAAGTTCCATTTTATAGTGTATTCTAAATTTGATCATACTGTTTAGATTTACAGGGCTGCTCTGGCTTCATCATGGAGTTGAGGGTTATTTCTTATGGACGGTTTAAGAACATCCCTATTTACATAGTGCCAAATTCTGCCCTCACCTGTTCCCGCCTTCATGCAGTTCCTGTTTTGACTAGTAGGGTTGCATCTATCTACTTAAGGGAAATGTTCCATCTAAGATTTTCCAACCATGAGCAGAGTGAGTTTTGGCTTGTGCACCAATATTGGGGTTATATGTGCCGGTTTGGATGTGTGCCACCATGGCACCCAATTTATTTACACACACACGTTCCTGGCTACCGGAGCAGACACACACCCCTACCCCCACCATGCAACAGGTCCCATTCCTGGCCCCAGCTGCCAGAACAGACCCCTCCAACCCCCCCGCCACATGGCAGCCCCAGTCACTAGAGCAGGATTCCCCTGCCACGCAGCCACAGCAGATCCCAGCCCCTGCTCCAATGGCTCTCTCGCCACACCATTTCAGCCAGCTGCCTCATGGCTCTCCTGAGGAGGTGGGCAGGAGAAGAATTTTTTGTGTGCAGCCACACAGGTGTGCACCTTAGCAGGAACTATGCTTAAGGGTAGAATTTTGTCTTGTATGTAATTGTTTTAAGAATTTCTAAGTAAGCTTATCTTGTTTCTAAGAAAAACAGGAAAATGGGGGAAAGTGTTTATTTTAATAGCAAAGAAAGTAAGTAACATTAGGAACAAAAAACAGGACTATGTAGCACTTTGAAGACTAACAAGATGGTTTATTAGATGATGAGCTTTTGTGGGCCAGACCCAGTTCCTCAGATCAAATAGTGAAAGAAAATAGTCACAACCATATATACCAAAAGATACAATTAAAAAAAATGAACACATATGAAAAGGACAAATCACATTTCAGAACAGAAGGGGGATGCGGGGGGGAAGGAAGGTAAATGCCTGTGAGTTAATGATATTAGAGGTGATAATTGGGGAAGCTATCTTTGTAATGGGTAAGGTAGTTGGGGTCTTTGTTCAGCCTCCTGCGGAGAGTGTCGAATTTTAGCATGAATGTCAGTTCGGAGGATTCCCTTTCAAGTGCAGATTTGAAAGTCTTCTGAAGTAAGATGCATGTGATTAGGTCATTGAGACAGTGTCCTTTCTGGTTGAAATGGCATTGAAATGGCATTCTTGAAAGAGAATCCTCTGAACTGTCATTCATGCTTAAATTCGACACTCTCCGCAGGGGGCTGAACAAAGACCCCAACTACCTTACCCATTACAAAGATAGCTTCCCCAATTATCACCACTAATATCATTAACTCACAGGCATTTACCTTCCTTCCCCCCCGCATCCCCCTTCTGTTCTGAAATGTGATTTGTCCTTTTCATATGTGTTCATTTTTTTTAATTGTATCTTTTGGTATATATG